CGTCAGCCGGCCGGTCCGGGTGACGAGTGCTCGGCGGCCCCTCCGGCGCCGGACCACGGACACCTACACGGGCGTCAGCCGGCCGGTCCGTGCCCGCTCAGCCGTGCCACCAGCGGTGGCGATCGCAGCCGCGCACCGCAGGCGGCGGGTCAGCCGTCCCGCGACGGGGCGGCCGGGCTCCGAGTAACGGGGGCCTGCCAACCCTGGCGAGGTCGTGCGTGTGCCCGCCTCCGCCCTACTGCCTCAATGAAGGCGGACGGGGGAAGACGGCGTGCATCTCAGGGTGGGAGTGACCCAACTTTGGCCGCAGGAGACGCCTGCAGCGGCCAGCGACCGACCAGATACGGCCTCCGCGAAGCTGCGGGGTTATGTCTCTCGCTCCACTCCGGCCGTCCCAGGGGGAAGGGTTCACGCGTGACCGGCGCCGCAACCACGGGACAAACCGGCCTGTCGGCGGCCCCAGCTGTCGACGGGGCCAGCTGGGGAGCGCGCGCGATGCCCCCCCCCCCCCCCTCCCGTCCCCTTCTTTTCCAGGACTGTGCACCACAGCGCACGGGCTGCGCGCGAGCAGACCCCCGGGACGGAGTGCTGTCGCGCGCGCAGCAGACTCGACGCCAGTCACTGGGAGCCGCCGGCCGGGAAAAAATAGTCCGCCGCCGTCCGGACCGCGGCGGGCCGCTCTCTCCAGCCGCCGAGCTGTGAGGAGAGCTGCTGCTGCCCTCCGAGTAAGCCGCGCAGCCAGCGCCGGCCGTCCCAGCCCGGCAGCGGACAGCTGCGGTACAGAGGCCGCCCGCTCCCAGGTCGGCGCTGGCTGCTCGGTATCAGAACAGCCAGCGCCGGCCGTCCCAGCCCGGCAGCGGACAGCTGCGGTACAGAGGCCGCCTGCTCCGCCGCCGCTCCCAGGCCGGCAGCGGACAGCTGGGGTACAGAGGCCACCCGCTCCGCCACCGCTCCCAGGTCGGCGCTGGCTACTCGGTATCAGAACAGCCGCCACTGGACGGCGACGCACGCCGAGGTACACGCTACGGTACCCGCGTCCCCGAGTCGCAGGCTGCCGCGTGTGGCTCCCTTCCATCATACCTCAGCTACCTGTGCAAACGGTCCACACATGCGCCCCTGTTCACACGTTCGCCGGGGGCAAGGATACCGCGGAAAAAGTGCGGCCATGCCTTCGCCGCGGCGCACGTACCCAGTGCGGAAATACCTGCGCTCGGTGCAGAATTTTGCAAAGGCACAAACAGGTTTCCTTTCCCTGGAGCCCATGGTTGGTAACGGCTGTTGCTGTCTGAGTAACCACAAGCTGCGGCAAGGTCACACGAGGAGCCGAGTGTGTACGTGTATAAATACTGCTGCATTCACCCGCCGCAAAACGTATTCATCATAAAGCTTTCGTCTAAAACCGGGACCGAATTCCGTGCGCTAGCGCGGCCTTCCCTCAGGTAACACGGCTTCTCACCTGCCCCCCGTCAGGCGGGCTTCCTACCGCCGCCGCTCCTCCCGGGGCGCCCCCACTGCAGCCCCGCACCGCCAGATCCGGGACAACCAGCAGCTCAAACAGCGAGGCCCGCACGGCGCGAAGCACCTGTTTACGGCCGGGAGGTCGCACGCAGTCGGCGGGCGGCGGCTCGCGCGACGGTCAGCTGACGGTTCACGGCAAGGTCAGTGGGCGGCCCGACGGCGGGCGCGACACCCGCAGGTAACGGTGCCGGTCCCATCAGCGGCGGCCCGGCCCAGCCCGGCTGGGGCCGGCTCAGGCTGGTGAGCGGTGCTGGCCCCTTCACACTGCCGCCGGCCGTCGCCCCGCCCGCTGCGGAAGGCCACCACACAGGTCAGGACGGGTGGAAGGCAGAGGGGGGGGGGGGCAGGATCAAGCTGGGACCGCGGGCAGGGATCAGGTGGGGAGGGGATCAGCTGGGGCCGGGGATCAGCTAGGACCGGGGACCGGAGTCAGCTGGGGCCGGGGAGATCAACTGGAGCCGGGAGATCAGCTGGGCCGGGGGATCAGCTGCGGCGGGGGACCAGAGTTCGGCTGAGGTCTGGGGGTATCACCTGTGGCCGGGGTAATCAGCTGGGGCCGGCGTATCAGCTGGGGGCCGGGGATCAGCTGAGGCCGGGGGATCAGCTGGGACCGGGGACCGGAGTCAGCTGGGACCGGGGAGATCAACTGGAGCCGGGAGATCAGCTACGGCCGGGGAGATCAACTGGAGCCGGGGGATCAGCTGCGGCCGGGGGCCGGCTCATGTGCGCACACGCTGCTCTGACCGCAGGCCAGCTTAGTGGTCCAGCCCGCGTGTAAGCGCCGCCATCAAAACACGCCTGGCAGACGGGAGGACGACGAGCGTGATGGTGTTTACCGTGAAGACACCAGCCTGGCTGACGTACTCTGACAACACAGGACAGCCCGCGCTCACATGCGGGGGATTGCGGAGTGTCAGGTGGGCACCAGCGAGGGCTGACCGCAAACGGCTGTCTGGTGCAGACGCTCCGAAGGACTTCGACCCAACGGAAGGCTAATCCCGCCGAGCTGAATAGAAACACGATGATGGTCACTTTTTGTGCCATCATTCCTAAATTACCCGCAATACAGATACGCCCGCCCTCCCAAACAGGCACGCCCCTAATCTGCGCAACACGCGCTCTTAACGCATGCGAAGACGCACGCGGGGGCGAAACCAGCCCAAACGCGGAGGGCTATCATCAGCCATAAAAGGCTGCGGCTTTTCGGGAGAAGGAAACTGGCCCTATCAGGCCGAGGCCGTCACTCCAAAAGAGCCGGCGTGCCAAACTCACGGCGGCCGAGACGGCGCGCCGGAGCACGGCCGGCCCGGGCCGGCGCGCATCTCCTGAATACCATCGGGGAGACGGGCGGCGGGCGCGGGCGGCGGGCGGGCGGCGGGCGGCGGGCGGCGGGCGGCGGGCGGCGGGGCGCGGGCCGGTGGGGCGGCGGGGCCGGCGGGGGGCGCACGGCTGGCCCGGGCCGGCGCGCCATCTCCTGAATACCATCGGGCGGCGGGGCGCGGGGCGGCGGGGGGCGGGGATGGCGGGGCGGCGGGCAGCGCGCCGGAGCACGGCTGGCCCGGGCCGGCGCGCATCTCCTGAATACCATCGGGGAGACGGGCGGCGGGCGGGCGGAGGGCGGCGGGCGGCGGGCGGCGGGCGGCGGGCCGGCGCCGGCCAGCTGGCCGGACGGTGACGCGCGTCCTCCGCCCGCGACTCTATATGGCACGGCACCAGATCACAGCGATGGAAGCCGGCGTCTTGAAAAGGTCGGCCGTCGCAAGCTTCAAAACGGGCCGGTGCCACCCCACGGAAGCAGTCTCATTCGTATCGATCGCGAATTCGGCATAGGCCGGTTTTGCAGGCCGGCTGGGCTCATCTGGGCGGCGGCGCTAGGAGGCTAGCCTAAGGCATTATCTCGGTGGTTGGCCTTGCGGCGCCGCTCGTCGCTGCGTCACGTGACGCGGACGTCACGCCATCCTCCTGGTGACTGTGCATAGGCATGCGAGCGCTGCGGGGAACGTCCGCGGGTCTCGCGTATCTCGCGCCTGTGAGAGCATTGCTGGAGCCCCACTCTATCCGATGTTCGCGCCGGTGCACATTTGGCCATCAGCTCACCTGCGTCTCATGTATGGCGGGCAGCGGGCCCTGGTGCGCGGCCAGCGAGTAGAAGCCGGGGCTCTGCACGAAGAGCCGGCATAGCGCCCGGTGCCTGCACGGTCACGTTCATGCCGGGGCGCACGGTCACGCGCGTCACCGGCTCTGCCAGGGGACCCAGGGCGGCCGGGCCGGCCGCCGCCGGCTGCTCGCTGGCCTGCAGCGCGCACTCTCACTCGCGCCCGGCGGCCCTCCGGCCGGGTCGCCCCGCCTCCTCCACGCGCCCTCCTCACCGTCACAGACTGCTCGGTATCGGCGTCCTGCACCCGCTGCGCGCCCCGCTTGACTGTCGCCAGAGCCACGCGCCGAGCGCGCCGCCGCCCCGCCGCCGCCGACGGCGCGGCCGTGTACGGTCTCTGGCAGGGAGCGCCCGCGCGTCAGAGACTGTACGCCACGGGGAGACTGTCGCCGGCAGCCTGCCGCCGCTGCTGAAGCTGTTGCTGATGGATTAGTTCTGCGCAGATGGCTGGAAGCGGCAACCACTTTCAAAGCCGGCATGTCGGCTCAAGCCGAGGATTAGCGAAAGCGACAGATGAGGAACGAGCCGGACATCGAGTGACATAACCGCGCGAATAGGCGGTTTTTGCTTTTGACTGATTTCGGGCAATAGCGCGTTTTTTCACACACTACGGTTTCGCAAGACATCAGGAGTCCAGGAAAACTAAACGTGCTAAATTACCACAATCCTTGGTAAGCTTCTACAATGATACTGAACGAATGCATCAAGACAAGACGGCTTGTCATTTCGTGACGCGTTTATCCCATCCCTGCCGAAATAGTCAAAAAATGAAATTATTTGAACAAAATACTCGACAGCAGTCACTACCCAAACAGCGTAAGCAAGAAACTGGACAGCAAAAACCGACTCTGACAAGCAGTAACCGGCTACCTCGGTTGTATTCCACGTGGTCCCAAGCCAACGATCCATGGTCACACCTGATCACCCTGTCCTGGGAGTTCACGGGCCCGGGCGCCGCTGATCAGACCACAACAGGTCAGGTCAGGTCGGACAGGAAACAATCGCTCGCGCACCGGGGGCTCCGGCTCCCACGCGGATGCCGCGCCGACACCGAGCCGGCGGGGGTCCTCCATCACCGGCCCGGCCGGCCGGCCGACGCACGTCACCGGCTCAACTTAACACGGCGACGCCGTGAGTGGCAGGCGGCGGCCCGCCTGAGCGGCGCCCCCGCCGGCACCGGCCCACCCCGAGCCGGAGGACGGAAGCCCGCCAGCGCCGGCCCCGCCCCCAGGGCAGAGGACGGGCGCCCGCAGGCACCGACCCACCCCGAGCCGGAGGACGGAAGCGCGCCAGCGTCAGCCCCGCCCCCAGGGCAGAGGACGGGCGCCCGCCGGCACCGGCCCCGAGTCAGAGGACGAACGCCGGACTCGGCGCCGGCTCCCTGAGCTGCTAACACGGCCGGGCGTGAGAGGGCCGCCGACAGTGAGCCCGCCTCATGATTCGCCGTGACAGGCCGGCCGCAGCACCGGGGAGCTGGCAAACCCGCACAAGCGGCCATGGCGAATCCACCGGTAAAAACGGCCTCCTTCGCGCCAGAGGCGGCACCGGTCCAGACGGAGGATGAAAGTCTGACGAGGGTGGAGAACGGCGGCGGGGGCCAGCGGGTCTTTCATTTTTAAAAGACGCTCGTCGGGAAGCCACTTCAGTGCTCACACGTAAAGCCGACGGCGGGTTTCCCATACCTGATATGGCTGCACCTTGAGCGCGTCACGTGCCGACGCGGTGTAGATCAATAATGACACGGCCAGACGCTTCGAGACATTTCGCCGGACATGGCTGAGCTCGGAACAAATCGTGACACAAAAGAAAGCCGAACAGAATAAATGGAAAACAATAGACAGATCAGATGACGTCAAAATTTGTTATATCAATGATACTGTCCGAACCTGCACCGAGGTCATCGCGACCCAGAATGCGAGCCATCGACTGCAAGCAACTAAGCAGTACCGATTGGCAACACCAACAACATTCACCTCTGTACAAAGCTGATGGCAGGGCCGTCGACAAGCGGACGGCAAAAACATGCCCACAGCTAAACAAACGTGCCCCATCGCCAACTAATCTCGGCTGCTTTCTCCGCGTGTATGACATGAGGATGCCGCTATCACCGTTATCTTATGCCGAAACGAGCCGTGCAATCTACCCGCGTATCAGACACACGTTCGTTATCTCGATCTCCTTGCCGTGGCAATCTGGTACAAGGTCTGCAAACCAAAGTTAACCACGGCTGTACTGAAACGATAACTGAACTACGAAACAAACCTGTCCATCCAGCAACCTCATGCACACGACCACTGTCAAGCTCAACATGTTACGGGATACCGCTGCAAAAATGCAGGCACCTGGTACCAGCAACAGCCCAGATGTATTTACGTTGGCGCAGAACTGCCAATTTATAGCTGACGCACTGGTGCCGGGTTCCAATGCATCCAAAACATGGTCAACTCTTTCAGTTGCCAACAAACTACCTGTATCACCAGCCCACGCATTGCTGCGTGGTGCTGAATGGACCGCTCCGCGGTGCTCTGCTGGTAACACGGCGCCAGAATATTCCTCCGCTTTCGAGGGAACTGTAAAGATACTGCTCAGAGTACCCGTCTGAATGTCCATAGACCATACACTACCCTTCGCTGCATTGCGCTACAAAGAGCAGCTAGTTCATGCGCATGTGAATGCAGCACTTGCCGCACTCATTCATTCGTGAGGCACACGAACAGACCACACATACGCGCCGCCACCCGGCAGCCAACGCACGTGAGAAGCTATTCTCTCCCCAGCCCGCCAACCGAGCATGCTGCACCGCACCACAGCGACACTCGTACGCCACCTGGTGACACGTTCTGAAACTGAAGCTTGCGCTGGCGGCCGGCTGGCGGCCAAGCGGCGGGCGCCCAGCGCCGACAACCGGCAGCAAAAACGACAGGTGGGCGGCGCAAACACCGTAAACAAACGCACTTATGCCGACAGCGCCACTTTACGTCAGCGCAGGCGCCGAACAAAGGCCGGCGTTGTCATTGGAGCGTGAGCGCGCGCGCGCGCGTGTTTGCCGATCAGGCGGCATTCCGCAGGGCGGACAGCTTTGTTTGATGCCCCGCCCCGCGCGCCCAGCCGCCACAGGCTCGGCCCTGAAAGCCCACAGCGCCATAACACGGCCGGACAGTGTCGGCTTCGCCCAAAGGCAATGCTGACCAATCACGCGGCGGCTGGATGGCCGCCCAGAAGCGATCCGATCCGACGGTCGCCGGGAAGCGATCGGAACCGCTCCATTGTGACGCCATACATGTTCCCACGTGCCGGGCCCCGCCAGCGCCGCGGGCCGCCGTCGTACCGCCGCCGCGGGCGGGGAAGGCCCAGCTATCGCTCCTCGACGCAAGGCCTGGCTGGCACCGCTATCAGGCCGACACGGCGCCGTCCAAGCTGCCCCAGTCAAGGCAGATCAGGCCGAGACGGCGCCCAGCTGTCTCAGCCAGGGAAGCGCAAGCCGAGACGGCGTCGTACCAGTCAGGACGGGTCCAGCCGATACAGCGCCGCCCCAGCTGTCCCAGCCAGGGTAGCTCAGGCCAACACGGCGCCGCCCCAGCTGTCCAAGCCAAGGCAGCTCAGTCTGACACGGCGCAGTCCCAGCTGTCCCAGTCAGGACAGCTGCCACAATGGCCGGCAAGTCTGGCCATTTTCCGGGAGATATGGCCCGACAGCCGATACCACGGCCTCACGGTACAGCATTGCTCGGCCGATACTCGACACCGACAGGCAAAGTTCAACTGCTGCGCAGACCACGCTCAGCTGTCACGCAGGCGCGCGCCACTGCTGGCAGCGCCGGGGTGCAAGCACAGGCGAACGGACCGCCGTTGAGCTCGAGGTGCCAGGCCCGACCCTGACGGCGTGCGCCACACAGCCGCGCCCCGCGCGAGTACTACATATAGACACACCGACCATGTACTACGTATAGACACGACCGACCTTGGCTTCGTACGGGGAACCTTGTACACACAACCTCCCACAAACCCCAGGAGAAGCGAGTCCACCAACAGCAGGAGCGAACTGCGCAGCCACCAGCGGCCTCGTGCCTGGCGCCCCCCCCCCCCCCGCCGTCCGATTACCTGGGAGGGTCGCGGCGAGTTCATCCTCAGCGTGTAGCTCCAGCCCAGTGCGCGGCCCAGCTTGCCGCCCAGCACACGCCGCAGCCGACGGAACCCCATCGACGCCGACGCTACGGCGCTCGCGCCGCGCGATCGCTCAGCAGTCTTGTTGCCTCACTCGGCAGCGGTCACGGGGTCGGGGCGGGCGCGCACGACAACACCACAACGTGCTGTCCACTGCGGCACCGGCGCGGTCACCAACGGGAGGTCACGAAGACTGGTCACAGACCGCGCGCGCCCAGCTCCCGCAGCCGACGGCCAGCCGCCACTGGCAGGAGACGACGCGGGCGGGTCGGGCCGCCGCGCGCATGGAGAGGCATACGTGAGTGGCGCGTTCAAGGCACGCTCGACTCGGCACGGCGCGCCACGGCTCAGCGCGGCTGGCGGCGCCGGCGGCGGACCGAGTCCAGGGTCAGCGGCGGAGGAGAGGTCTCGGCCGCCCGCCGACCTCCGACTCCGGGCCCTGCTGCCCCGCCCGGTCACAGGCGGTGCCGGCGTCACTGGCACCGTCGCCTTGGCTCGCCCCACGGCTCGTCACCACGCTCCACCAGCCGCCGACCAGCTCCGTGATCGACCTCCGCCCACCACGTCCGCCGAGCCGCCGCCGGCAGCTCGCCGCACGGCCGAGAGCACGAGTGAGACACGGCCACCGCCCGGGCCGAGCCGAGCCGGCGGTTGTCGGCGCGGCGGGCAGCAACGCCGACTGTGACGTGATGCCGAGCGCCGCCGACAATCGCGGCCGGCCTATCGGCTGGCAGCGCGGCCGATCGCCGCTCATCTGATACAGACGGTCCACCCCGCCCACCCGGGAACTGCGCTGCAATCGAACACGGCGGGGCCAGCCCACCTGGCCCACCCCATGGTGGGCACACCCCGCTGTGTTCGGCCGCGATGCAGCCGAACACAGCGGGGCTGAGCTGCAGCCGCCCACCCGACCCCGGGAACTGCACTGCAGCCGAACACGGCGGGGCCAGCCCACCCGGCCCACCCCAGGGACCGCGCTGCAGCCGAACACGGCGGGGCCAGCCCACCTGGCCGACCCCAGGGGCCGCACTGCAGCCGAACACAGCGGAGCTGAGCTGCAGTCGCCCACCCGACCCCGGGAACTGCACTGCAGCCGAACACGGCGGGGCCAGCCCACCCGGCCCACCCCCAGGGACCGCGCTGCAGCCGAATACGGCGGGGCCAGCCCACCCGGCCAACCCCGGGGCTGAGCTGCAGCCGAACACGGCGGGGCCAGCCCACCCGGCCAACCCCGGGGCTGAGCTGCAGCCAACCACGGCGGGGCCAGCCCACCTGGCCGACCCCGGGGCTGAGCTGCAGCCAAACACGGCGGGGCCAGCCCACCCGGTAGCTCTTGCCATACGGCCGGAAGTACGGGTGAGCCCGTAGGTTTATGCAGCACATGCAGTAGCGGGCTTTCGGAATTTCGAGCAAGGCAGCTAACAATGATATAGCTAGGTCAGCTCTAATTGTAATGAGTACAGACCATAACGCACATAAACCTAACAAAAATGCTTATTCTAGAATCAAACTATGTTATCATACAAATTGCAACATCGCGCAATGTTGGCCACTAGTGGTCTTACATTAGAGATGCTGCCTAAACCAAAGCACATCGAATTGGTCTCGCATACTGTTGGGTCATCACAGATGACATCAACGACTTTTTTCTTGTAATTCCTATCGGCCACCAATAATTTGTTGATCGAAGTAAACAAAACTGCTCTACATAAATGGGTACTAGCCCCCCCCCCCCCCCCTCTGGCGCGGCGGTTCAGTCCGCTGTGAGTAGACAGGCCGCCCTGTTAAGTGAAGCCTGGGCGGCTCTGTACCATTAGCACCAGGTGAACAGTTGGGCCTGTGAAGCGGATTCTGGGTGGAGAAGTGCGCCAGGAACGTAAACAACTGAACAATTGGAATGTACATGCAAGCAACACATATAACACATGCCTAAGGTTTGACGGCATGGTACACGTGGATCGGATCTGAAACATCGAAATGAATGTGCAGATACCAAACTCTGCGTATGTGCCGTGGCCCTGTGGACCATGATTCTCCATCGGGATCTAGCACGTTTATGTATTTGTTCCCTCTCTATTTCCCGAAAACTGAGTGAACTGATTAGGCGGGACAAGAGTGCCGGCAGTCAGATGCTGGTGTCCTAGCCAGCTAAACGCCTTTTGCAGTGGTACGGGCGGGCGGAATAACATATGTTTATTATCACCCTGCGGATATACCCGAGAACAAGAGAATGGCGCTCATCGCCTTCGGGAACCAGTATCGGTAGGGTACTAATATATGGACACATCCTACTGACATGCGTTTGGTAGGCAGAGGTAGACTGATGTTTAGCGTCCGCACACTAGATACCTATGGCCCGCGCGGCTGGGATATTGGCTGGCTTTGGGCCCGTCCGAAGGAGTTTACGTTTTTGGTGACTGTGACGCAGGTCTGGGGTTAAATCGCGACCATTGTGAACGGATATTGCTCACAGTGCACTGGGCAATGCGCCCGCGTTACTTTCATGCCCTGGCCTGCCTGGGTTCAGGTCAATGTGTGACATTGGAGGTCGGTTTCGGGAAAGGGTGCCCGTGGCGGCAGTTTCCTGCCTGTCGCTGGTGCACCTTTGTTCTGGTTCGCCTCTGTCCACCGCCCCCTCCGCTGGTATGAGTGCGCCTCACGTCGCTGCGACGCCCGGTCGCCGACATCTGGGCCGTTTTCCGCCGAGACCTGGGCCGTTTCTCGGCTCATTTCCTCGGCTCTATGGCGGTCTTACGTTTCCTGTCCTAGACAAATGACATATTGCTGATATTCCACCGTTACGAAAATACGGACCTGATCAAAAAGCCTGCATTTAAGCGACTTAAAGACATAACAGTGCAACCTTGAAATATGACTGCAAACTGTTGCAGATAATTTCAAGACGGTGCGACAACTAGTTCTAATCATACAAGCTCGTCAAAGACGTTGCTGGTTAAGCCGAGCTGGGCAGAAGGAGCTGAACATTTCCTGTCAGCTGGTGCTGAAACCAGTTGGGGCCGCGGCCTTGCTCGTAATCCCGTCAGCATCGCCGTGAGTCACAGTAGCTCAACAACAAACCACTCCAGCGACAGACTGTGCCACTTTGTCGGCACCGCGACGAACGTGACGCAGTGCGCGAGCTCGAGCCCGCAGCGTGCCGACCGGCAGGGGACGGCAACGGCGACGTCCGCACAGCGGAGCAGCCGCAACTAACGGCTGTGTGGATGCCGCGCCGGGCCGGGCACGGCGGTCAATGCAGACACAGCTTCCTAACTCCGAGGGTTGTCCCACAGCTGCACCCAGTCCAGACGCCAGTCGCAGACTGCCTGCGCTCACAGCAAACGTAGTTCACCGGGACGCGGGGCCTCGTCCCGTCTCGTCCCAGTGGAGCCGACTGCGAAGGGAGCCGGCGCCCGACCCGAGCCGCACCTCGGCGTGATCCAGCACCGGGCCTACTGCCGGCACACCCGCTGCCGACCTGGCACGTATGCAGCCCCGTCCGGTGCAGCGCCCAGCCTCATCGCTGACGGGGCGCGGCGCCGGTATCTCCGGCGGCCCGGCTGGCGGGCGGCCGGGCCGTGACTCCGTTAGTCGCTCGGATCAGGCAGGTGGCGACAGCGCCGATCGGATGGGGCCGCTATCCGAGCCAGTCGCGGACCACCGCCACTCAGTCGTCACTGCACACCCGCCCGGGCCACCGAGGCGACGCACCGACACCGCCAGCACGCCAGAACGAACGGCGCGCGCGCACGTCAATGGCACCTCGCGCGTTAGAAATACAGATTACCGTTTATTGTGTTTCCCAGCGGTGATACTGAAGCCCCAGGCTCCGTTTATAATGCCTGCCCACGTATGCGACGCCCTAGTTTTAACACTCGTATGTTGACCAGTGTCTCGTAAAATGGAGGCGGACTTTGTACTGCTATTGTCACTGTGGATTATATGAGAACCAAAACTGACGAAAACAACTTCAATCCGAGGTTTGGTTGCATGTTTGCATGCATGGCTTTGGGACCAGTGTTTGATACGCGGAGCTAACTGCAAAGGCTCTGACTCTAACACCCCGCGCGAACGAGACCTGTTCAACGAGTTTTCAATCTTTGTTTCGGCACTTCGTTTCGCAAATATTCCCGATGGACCCGAATATGACCCCCACTGCTCTGACACGGCTGCGCCGTGCCGGCCTGGTCTCGTTCCCCTCCGGCTCATTTCACCAGGTGTGTCTGTTGAATCATGTTTTCTTGGACACAAATGTACTACCATACGGATTCCAGAAACGGATTTTCCTGCTACGAGGAGGTCCATTTCCTGGTTCTTTGCACACCGCGCTGCGGTGAACGTCGCCAGTATCAAACTAACCACGAACTGCCAATAGATTGAGCCCACTAGCCCAACGCTCTGACATCCACAATGCCACCGAGCTAATGCTGCATGTCAAAACGGCCAGCTTGTAGTACTTGACAACGTGCAGCCATGGCAGCTCGGCCATGATACCCAGTTGAGGCCACCTATGCAGTGCATCCCACAGCTCCAGCTCGCGCCCGCCTGGGCAGCACCATCCCCATCCCATCCCACCCAGCCAGAGTGCTCCTGATCAACCCACCTCCACACCGCATCACAAACCAGCTCAGTCAAGCTCCGCGCGGCATCTTTCGGCTCGCTCCAATGACCGAGAGCCCCAGCCAGCTGGCGCCACTGAGCGGCCGCGCCGCCCGGCCTGGCCCACTGCCCCAGCCAGCCGCTCAGCCGGCCCATTGATCGGACAGCGCGGTCGACTCGGACCGGTGCGCGCGGCCGCCGCCGCCCGTGACCGGCTGTTCCGCCGCGCGCTGCGCCCCGCGGGGTGTGGTCGCCGATGGAGCCCGCTCTCCGGCGGTGGGCCGCGCCCGCCGACGCCACTCCCAGGCGGCAGGTGCGGTCCCGGCGGCCGGACGATCCCGCAGCTCTGACGGGCACGGCGCCCGGCCGGGCCGGCACCGGACCCGACGCCGGCCGCTCCGGCGCGCCGCCGCCGCCGCCGCCGCGGCCCAGATGTG